CAGGCTGGGGGACACTAGGCAGCAGTTCACCTGGGCCCTGGAGCGCAGGGAGGACCCGAGACGCCCCCAGGGGCTCTTCGAAGTCAACACTTCTCCCCACACTCCCTGGGGTGTAAGTGGCGACGTCTGGCTTCAGCGCCTTCCTTGCTGAGGGCACAGTGGGCTATGTGCTTGTGCAGACGTGCATTTTAAAGTGGCCCCAGTATGTCAGCCCTGCAGGCGTGGCTCAGCTGGTTGGAGCATCATCCCGTAGGTGGGCTATGTGCTTGTGCAGACCTGCATTTTAAAGTGGCCCCGGCATGTCAGCCCTGCAGGTGTGGCTCAGCTGGTTGGAGCATCATCCTGTGCACCGAAGGGCCTCGGGTTTGATTCTCCAGGCAGGCATGTAAGGAAGGCAACTGATCAATGTTTCTCTCCCCCCACTTTCTTTAAAAAAAACACAATGAAACGTATCTTTGGGCCTCAGCCGGTTTAGCTCAGCGGATAGAGCGTTGGCACTCGGACTGAAGGGTCCTGGGTTCGATTCCGGTGAAGGGCACCTTGGTTGCAGGTTCCCCGGCCCTGGTCGGGTGTGTGCAGGAGGCAACCAATCGATGTTTCTGTCTCTCCCTCTCCCTTCCACTCTCTCTAAAAATCAATGGAAAAATATCCTCAGGTCAGGTGAGGATTAACCAAAAAAACCCCACAAAATAGTAACAATATCCGTGGGTGAGGATTAAAAAAATGTTTTTAAATAGTCTAAAATGTCTCAGTATTTTAAATTTTTGTCTTATTTCTTAATATGTTAAATATCAACAAATAAAATCCCCATAAACAAAGGCTCCTTGTGGTTTTCAATTCTGAAGAGTGCAGGCCCTGAAGACAAACGTCTGTAAACGAGAGGCCGTTCTGAAGACAGAAGCAGGTAAACGAGATGACGGTTCTGCACACAATTTCAGTGTCAGAGATAAACCGCACAACCGATGTCACCTAACTAACCCTGACCCTGACCCACCGAACACCGTAATCAGACACCAAAACCAGAGCAGGAACAGCCTCAAAGCGGAAGAGCAGCGGATGAGTCCGGGAGACACTCCACCCCTTCCCAGGCGCACGAGTGCGTCCGGTTTGCTTCACGTGACAAGGGCTTTATTGGGTAAAAGCTGGCAACCGACGGCACAGGAAGCTGAAGCCCACGGCGGAGTGAGGAGTCCGTTCTCCCTAATAAACGTCCGCTCCGGAATCGCCCACTGTCAGCGCGCCCACCACCCGTCCCTCTCTGAGGCTGAGCCCGGGCGGGAGCCCTGGCCGGTGGCTCAGTGGTTACAGCAGCAGCCCTCCCTCGGGGGGGAAGGGTCTCCAGTTCAATTCCCAGTCAAGAGGATAAACAAACACACACAAAAAGGAAATGTCCCTTTAAATGTTCAAAGGTGGGGAAAAGGCCTCACCATTCTGCAGGTCAAAAGCAGTCACCAGCCAATGATACAGAAGATTGGGAAGGCGAGGTTCTTGATCCCGCCCCCTCTTCCAGCCACGACTCAGCTCCTGTGGGCTCCCGCAGCCCGGCCCTCAGTGAGCCTTCCCTCTCTCCACAAGGCAGAAGCATTCGGAGCCTGGACTAACCTTGACCAGCAGGGGAAGATGTGAGCAATGACACCGTCAGTGACCAAACTAACAGTGCAGGTAGGAGTGAGGCGCAGCCTGCAGGCAGCACCGAGGCCCAGAGCAAAGGACAGACAGCAGCCGTGACTTACGCTGGGCGCCGCGGGATGCTCTCGCGCCTCTGCGTCTGGTCTATCAACCGCCCGGAGCACTTCGGGGCTCTTGTGGCCAGTCTGAAATCTCACGTCAACAACTCTCTCTCTCCCAACATCTCTTCTACTCTCACACCGTCTGTCATACGGGCCGTGCTCAATGAGGCCAGGGTAGCCCCTAGAACCAAAGTCTGCATCACCTGCTCCACCACGGGGTCTATAGTCAATTTCCTGCTGCTGGCGCTTGTCACCTGGCTGAAGAGCCAGGGGCGGCTCTCGGGCGGGACCGAAGGGTCGCAGCATAAAGACCGACTGTCCAGCACCGTAGCAGAAACTCTAGGAGGAAAAGACATCGCATTTCTGAGTACATCCTGGCTGACGTGCAACACGAGGGGCTTTTCACTCAGGGCGCTAACAGAATTATGTAATTCAGCTGTGGCATTTGCAGACATAACCATGTTCTTGAACTGTGTGTTCTTTTCATTAGAAGTCTCTTCTTTAATACGGGGCCAGAGTAGCCAATCAAAATTGAGAAATCACTCAGTATTACGTAGACTTTTCAAGCAGCTGGAGTTTGACTGAATTATAACAATGGCAGTTAGGCTAAAACCTAGAAACGCCCGTGGGAAGGCACTAACTGATAACTGCGCACATGCTGTCTATGTTCACACCCCTCAAATCAGGGAAATGCTGAAAACTGTTCAGCTGTACACCATCATGTAAACATTCCCCTGTAGGTTATTATTATTTTTTTTTTGCCAATCCAACGTGGTTTAGCTACAGCTACACCCCACAGGCTCTGAGTGGCAGGCTGGGGGACACTAGGCAGCAATTCACCTGGGCCCTGGAGCGCAGGGAGGACCCGAGACGCCCCCAGGGGCTCTTCGAAGTCAACACTTCTCCCCACACTCCCTGGGGTGTAAGTGGCGACGTCTGGCTTCAGCGCCTTCCTTGCTGAGGGCACGGTGGGCTATGTGCTTGTGCAGACCTGCATTTTAAAGTGGCCCCGGCATGTCAGCCCTGCAGGCGTGGCTCAGCTGGTTGGAGCATCATCCCGTGCACCGAAGGGCCTCGGGTTTGATTCTCCAGGCAGGCATGTAAGGAAGGCAACTGATCAATGTTTCTCTCCCCCCACTTTCTTTAAAAAAAACACAATGAAACGTATCTTTGGGCCTCAGCCGGTTTAGCTCAGCGGATAGAGCGTTGGCACTCGGACTGAAGGGTCCTGGGTTCGATTCCGGTGAAGGGCACCTTGGTTGCAGGTTCCCCGGCCCTGGTCGGCTGGGGCAGGGGGGC